TCGGCGCCTGCGGCGACTCTCGGGGCTGTCGCAGCGCCCTCAGCGGCCCTGCCCGTCCCGCTTCCTCGGGGAGGCGTCCCAGAACGGGGCGCGGGCCTGGAGTCCGCTTCCTCCGGGCGCCCGCGGCGCGCCGCTCTCCCGGCAGCTCGAGGGGGAAGCGCCCCCGCGCCGGCCCGCAGAGCCGCGCTCCGCCCGGAAGCTCCGCGGCTCGCGTGCAGACCGCAGCGCCGGGCTCTGCGCCGTGCGGAGAGGCGGAGACAGCTCGGGAAGGCAGCTAGGAAGGGGCCGGGCCTGTCCTTCGCGGTCAGCGTCGGAATGGCCGTGTGGGGCCCAGAAGCCACGCAGATGGAAGGCCCGGGGATCCGGGGCTTGCCTAAAGCCCAGCCCTGGGTGGGAGGTTTAGGCAGGAGTACCTCTGAGAGTCGGAGGCCAGCCTGGGCTAAAGAACCAGAGCCTAAGAAAGAAAGAAATGAAAAACCTAGAAAGACTAAGATAGCTAAATGCCAAATGGAAGCCAGGCCTGGTGGTGCTCACCCATAATCTGAGCGCTCAGGAGGCTGAAGCAGGAAGGTCGTTGTGAGCTCAAGAACAGCCTGAACTGCATTATGAGACCCTGTCTCAAAAAGACCAAATAAATACATAAATAGGGGCTGGGGAGATGGCTCAGTGAACTAAGCGCTTCCCTGGCAAGCACAAGGGTTTGAGTTCAATCCCTTGTTCTGGGGCTAGGGAGATAGCTCAGTAGAATAAGTGCTTGCCTGGCAAGCACAAGGTCCTGAGTTCAATTCTCAGTTCCCGGAAAAAAAAAAAAAATTCCACTAGCCATTCATTAACTTTGTGTGTGTGTGTGTGTGTGTGTGTGTGTGTGTGTGTGTGTAGAACCAGGCATTGAACTCAGGCCCTTGCACCTGCCAGGGAAGTGCTTATTCCACTGAGCCATCTCCCCAGCCCCTCATTAACTGTTTATAGCTTACACCCAAGTGAGTTTCCAAAAGTAATAATAAAAAATGAAGTCAAATTCACAGCCAAAAAAAAAAAAAAGTCCCTGGTTCTGCAAAAATAAATAAATAAATAAATAAATAAATGCCAAAGTTTGTCATAGCTAAATTTTGGAAGCAACCCAAATGCCCATCAACTGAGGAACAGATAAAGAAGTGATATTTTTAGGGACCAGGGAGATGGCTCAGTGGAATAAGCGCTTCCCTGGCAAGTGTAAGGGCCTGAGTTCAATCCCTGGTTCCAGAAAAAAAAAAAAAAAAAAAAAAAAAGTGATATTTTTACCCAATAGAGTATCATTCAGCTATAAAAAAGGATAAATTTGAGGTTTTTATTGGTAAATGGATGCAACTTGAGACCATACTTTTAAGCGAAATAAATCAGTCCTGCACGTGCAAGCATCGTTTTGTCTCTCAGTGTAAGAACCTGAAAAAGTAAATAAAAATCTAAAGGGCACAATAGATACTGAGAAGAGGGAATAAACCTAGTCAAAAGGAGTTAGATGAGGAGGACAGGAGAGGGAGTTGGGGAAAGAGATGTATCTATGGGTGTGAGCAGGATGGCTTGGATAGCTGTACTGTGGATTTCTGCTGGTCTGTGGAAAGGAGCAGTTAATGCTTTTCAATTTTTCCTTTTTCTCTCTTAATTGCTTAGAACTTTTTTCTTTTTTTCTTTCTTCCTCCAATTCTGCATGCATATATCTGGTAATCTGAATGATTAACTTGAAGATAACACTAAGCAATTAAACAAATACTGTCAAATTCATATTTTTTAGTGAAATTCTTTATCATTTGTAATTTTTCTATTTTAACACTTTTTTTTTTTTTGTACTTTAGGGAAGGGCCTACAGGGTGTTCAGGGTTTTACTATTAAATCACACTCAGTGATCGGCCTGTTTACCGCCTCCCAAGAACTGGGATTACAGGCACACCCCACCCTGCCCAGTCTCAATTGCCGTCTCAGCGCACCGGGTTCAGCCAAAAAAATAGCTGAATAATATTCCATTGTGTAAAAATACCACATCTTTCTCAGCCATTCCTCATGTGATGGGCATCTTGGTTGTTTCCAAGATTTGGCTATCACAAATTGTGCTGCTATAAACATCGGCACACATATATCCCTATGATATGATGTTTTCAGATCCTCTGGGAAAATTCCCAGTAGAGGAATGGCTGGTTTAAAGGGGATTTCCAGACCAACTTTTGTAAGGAGTCTCCATACTGATTTCCATAACGGTTGCACCAGTCTACACTCCCACCAGCAGTGGAGAAGGGTTCCTTTTTCCCCACAGCCTCTCCAACGTTTGTTGTTGGGTGATTTCTTTATGATAGCCATTCTTTCTGGGCAGCCAAAAAAATAAATAAAAAAGTTAAAATTAAATATATGCCAAGTGGGATCATGGACAATGAAAGCCTCACTGGTAGATTAAAAAATAATTGTTACCAAGGAAATTATTAGGGCAATTGAGAAGCTTAGATATGGACTCCATGTCAGCTAATATTACAAGGCTCTCTGAACTTAGCTGTAATACTGGAATGTGCAGTGCAGACAGCGAAGTCATGATGTGTGCAGCCAGCTCTCAAAGGACCCAACAAGAACAGCAATAATTACGTCTAGCTGGTGTGGTGGTACGCACCTGTGATCTAGCCTCAGAAGGCTGAGGCAAAGGGATTCCTCGGAGTTTAAAAAAAGCCTGGGCTACAGAATCAAGCTCAAGGCCAGGTTACTTTACATAGTGACATGCTGTCTCAGAAAGTCCTAACAGTAGCAGTAGCAGCAGCAGCAACAGCATCTATGTGGGATGGAGGGAAATACCACCAAGTGCAGGATCCAGGGCAGGAAGCGGTACCACGGACTTGGTCTCCATGCGTCTCTGAAGGTCCAATCACAAATGAATACACTTTAAAAAGGGGAGAAAAGCTGGACACAGTGGCACAGGTCTCTAATCCCACCACTCAGGGGGCTGAGACAGGAGGGTGGGCACGAAGACCCAGGCCAGCCTGGGCTACATCGGGGGACAGTCTGAAAACAAAGGCGGGGCAGGCACAGGGAGCGGACTTGTTACTCGCCTGCCGCGTTCACACCCAGCACCTGCCAGAGTGGACGGAGCCTGGCAAGGGACTAAAGCACTCATGACAGACAGGTGGGTTAGCACCGATGAGCTGGCCTTTTGTGTGCTGACTGGAGCCAGCAGTGTCGTGAGGGGCACCTCTACTCACAACTCATCAGACAGTGGCCAATCACAGGCTCCCAGCAGCACCTGCTTGGCCTAAACAGCCGGCTCCCAAGAGTCATGGAGGGCGGGCACGGCAGGGACTGCAGGGCGGCTCTCCACATCAGCAGCTGGACAGAGTGCCCTTGCCAAGGGCCTGCCAGGGAGCCCGCACTGGTGCTTTTTTTGTTTCCTCTTTTGAGAAATTTGCCACAGTAGCCTCAAATCCTGGATCCCCCTGCGTCAGCCTCCAGAGTAGCCAGGACCGCAGGCAGCTGCCCAGCATGTCTGTGCTGTTGCCCTCCACCACCGTAACCCCCTGCCCCACCTGACCTGTCCTGAGGGTGGACACTGCTGGCCCCTCCTCCCCTGCACGTTTTGCCCACCCCTCCAGTCTCAGGGGCACAGCTAGGCTCCCAGTGTCCTGAGGCGCCCCATCTTGCCAGCTCCCTGCCCCCCGTCTCAGGCTGAGTCTTGAGTGGAGTGTGCAGCAGCACAGGGACTCTGACAGGCGTGGAAGCGCACCTGGGCCAGGTGCTCCCAGCTGCCACCTTGAGCACATCTATCTGGCTTCCGGCCGTGCTTCCCACCAGGCAAGAGGGACATCAGGGAGAACACAGATGCCACATTCACCACACAGTCAAGAGCTGGGGCTGCGGAGGGGAAGAGCTGGGGCCCACAGGGCTGGGGGTGGCTGAGCAGCCTGGCCAGTATGGGGCCACTGTGGGGAGAGTGGGCACGGGAAAGCCCCTATGGCAAGGCGTGGTCACTGCCAAGAGGAGACCACAGAGGCCGTGGGGCATCCTGAGCCCCTCCCCACGTCAGCCCAATACCCGATCTGGCCCAGCACCCACTTCACTGTGCCCAGCTAGAGACTTGGTACTGGGTACGAGCCCTGCTGACCCTTGCTGACAAAATCTTACCAGGGATTAGAGGCTTCCAGGCTTCCATGTGTGTCAGCAAAGGGCAAATCCAAAACCCCCTGCCAGAACGGCATCTCAGCACAGACCCTCACCTGACCCACATGGAAGCCTGGAAGCCCTGAGCCCCACAGCACACCACCCTGACTGCAATGCACAGGCCCCCTGGCCCCGCTACAGTGTGGGCAGTCCTGGGTGTAAGCAAGCTCAATGCCCTCTGCTCTGCAGAGTCCCAGGACGCCTGGGAGGACCGTGCGTACCTGTGAGACCCTGTGGAGAAGCCCATCCACCCACACACACACCACAGGCCTGCAATGCCCAAGACCGGAACAGAAAGTTCCACACCAGGACACTACAAGATAATATGAACTTGTTTGAAATTTTCTCAGCTGTAAGGGATCCAGAAAGCAGAAAAGCCTCGTGTCTTGTGCCCCCACCCCCAGCAGTCTCACAGGGGACATGAAGATGTCCCAAATGCAAACCAGCATGGCCTCACTCATGCCACCTGAATTGCTTCATGCTTACACATCCCTGGGCCCTTTGATGCCTTCCTCATCTCAGGGTATGAAACCCAAGGCCAGGAGGGGAGTAACCTGTCCAGTTCTTGCACTGGAGACAGGCTACTGCCCAGCTGCCTTCCAAAGCCAAGCCACAATGGAGTACCCCCAGGACACTGGAGGCTCCATAGAAGGGGTCAGGGTCAGTCAGGACAGGTGGGGCCCACTGGACACAAGCATGGCCCTCACACCACTTGCTGCAGGCTGAAAGCCTCAGGAGCGTAGGCAGGAAGAGGCTTCCATTGCAGTCAGCCCTGGACCAGCAGAGGAGTGCTGCCTCAGCCTGATCCCCAAACACAGTAGGTGAGGCATGACCATGAGGGTTAATAAACAGCTTTATTTATCTTGTACAGCGTCCACTTCCTTACATTCTTAATTTTGCCATTAAAGTGCCAGAAATTTTCTTAATCATAACATTTGTTAAAAGATAGCAGAACTACCATCAGGAGCACGCTAGTCACGAGTGGAACATTTCTCTTACAAAACACAGGATGGAAGTCCCTTGTGTCCAGCTGGCCGGGGAGTAACCTGCACACAGATCCTACCCAGTTCCCTCCCTCCTGACATGACAGCCAGGACTGCCACTTGCATGGGAGGGCATCTGCGCAGAGCTCACTTCCAGCAGCCACGGCTGTTGGGGCCACACTGGGTACGGCAATTGGCATCAGCTCCAGCCCAGGACAGGAGAGCAGCCACTCAGCCTCCACCACTTCCCCCGCCCAACCCTCACCAACAAAAGCCCCGAAAGTCATCACAATGAAAAAAGTGGGCGTCCATTTCCCCAATACTAACAATGTTTGGTACAAATGAGGATAATAAACAAAAGCTTGCTTAGTAAACAGGAGCTCTCAGCATTCAATGCAAAAAAAAAAAAAAACAAAACTGAAATCTTAAGGCAAATACTGTTGGCTCTTCCCAGGGCCAGCGCACCAAACTCCACGAAGAGTGTTGTCCAGGAGCCCAGGCAGCAGCCACTGCGCCAGGCCACCGCCAGGAGAGGACGGCTCTGCGCTGCCGAGGCTGCAGGTGTCCGCCAGCTTGCACCCGTGCTGCACTCCGAGGATGGGTCTGCAGAGGCGTGCACGGCCACGGCGGCTACTCCTTCCTGGTGGACACCGCCAGCTCTGCGTCTGCAGGCTGGACGCTCACCCTCGTCCCACTGTCATTGCTGGAGGACGACGACAGTCGGCACTTGGAGGCCAGGGGTGCACCACTGCCCTGCAACTTGCCCACTTCCTCATCACTCCCCGTCACTTCATAGTGGCCTTTGCTCTTTGACCCCAGCCCACCAAAGGTACCAAATTTGAGCTTGCCATGCTTGCCTCTCACCCTCCCTTCCTCCACAGACAGCTCACCACCCCCAAACTCCAGAGTCCCTGTCGGGGTGGAAGGCACAGAGAGCTCCCTGTCGTCACTGAAGGAGCTTGAGCGGTGCCTCGGCTTCTTGCTCTTAAACAGAGAGAACTTGCCTTTGGAGGGCGTCTCCATCTCCACTTCTCCCTCCAGGGACCCCAGGCTGGCCTTGGAGCTCTTTAGGTCACCTTTGGACCCAGCAATGGATACCTCCGGCGAGCCTGTGACACTGCTCTTGCCCTTGGGTTTGGAGAAGGGGAACTTTGGCATCTTGATCTTCGACTTCTTTAGCTTTACCTCAGAGTCCTCCCACTCTCCTTCTGTGGCACCAGCCTGCCCTGTCATGTCTGCCTCGGGAAAGGCGACATCCACACCCACCTCTCGGCCTACAAGTTCACGGCCAGAGAAGGTAAACTTGGGGATCTTCATCTTGGGGAATGTGACTCTTCCTGCCCCGCTCTGAATGCGGCCCTGAGCCCCCGACACAGCCAGTCCGAGCTCGCCCCCCTTCACACCACCTTCTAACTTTGGTCCTGACAAGTGCAGGCCTGCGCTGAGAGCTGAGGACACCTGCGGTCCCTTCCACTCGGCCCCGGAGCCTTGGACACTGAGCTGCCCCTCGCCCAGGCTGAGCACAGGGTGGCCAATGCCCCCTGACACCTCCACGCCACCTTTGACTTTCAGGCCCTTTAAGCTGACGCTGCCATCTGCCTCTGGGGAGACTATGCTGTAGGAGGGCCCCGTGACGCTGGCCTCGGGGACGGCCCCATGCAGATGAGCCTCAGGGCCCTGCAGGCTGCCTGTGACGCTGGGCATCACTGTCACACCAGGAAGCTGCAGGTCTCCTTCTAGGCCTTGAACGCTGACTCCTGCAGGAGCCCCTTGCACCTCTCTGGTGGCCCCAAGGCTCCCTGTCACTTTTGGTCCCTGAAGGTTGAAGTCCGTATCAGGTGCACAGAGCTGAGGCCCTTTCAGGCTCACACCCACACCCTGCCCCTTGAGCTCGCCCACGCCTTGTGCTCCCTTGATGCTAACACCCCCACTGGACCCTGGTGTAGAGATGCCCAACTGGGAGAGTTCCATCTGGGGAAGCTTAAATCCCATTTGTGGTGCCTCCAAGCTCAGGTCCCCAGAGCTCATAGAGCTCTTAGGACACTTCACATCACCTGAGGCAGCCAGGTCTCTCTGCAGGTTTGGTCCCCTCAGTGTCACATCCGGGACCCCAACCTCGATGCCTGGCACTTTGACACCACCGCCTCCAAGGGCAAGGCCGGGGCCATGCACCTTCAGGCTGGGAGTAGAAGCATCCAGCTCTCCCTTCAGACTTGGTCCTTTCACATTGAGATCAAGGTTGGGCCCAGAGACATCAGGCATAGAGAGGTTCGAGGCAGGCAGGCCCATACCTGGCCCTGTTAGCACAGCCCCGGGCCCTTGCAGTCTGACATCAAGAGCATTTGGGCCTCCCTCGAGAGAGGGCAGCTGGCCCCCCGCCTCAGCCTCCATGGTGACACCAGGGATGCTGACCTTGGGCACTGAAAGCTTAGGAAACTTGATTTTTGCCTCTGGACCTTGCAGATCTATGCCTGGTCCTTGGAGTCCCACACTGGGGACATCCCCCTTTATCTTTGGTCCTTTCAAGTCAGCATTCATATCAGGCATGGAGGCCTGTGGGGTAGAAATGCCGAAAGAAGGTGCTTTGACTTTGGCATCTGAGCTTTCGATGGTGATGTCAGGTGTACCAAACTTGGCCTGCACCTGGGAGCCTTTCAAGTCCCCTTCTATCTTTGGCCCTGAGATGTCCACACCCGGCATCTTGAACTTGGGGGCCTTCACCTTAACCTCTGGACCCTCCACGTACATCCCCGGTGAAGAGAGGTCCAGATCTGGTACCTGGATTGCACCCTCCATCTTGGGGCTGGGAAGCTGGGCCTCAGCTTTAACTTTAGGCGACTTAATGTCAAACTCTACATCTGGAAAGTACATCCTCCCAAACATAGTCTTCTTTGTTCTGGGAGATTTCACGTCAACTTTAAGTGCAGCATCTGGACCAGCAACACTGACATCCACATCTGGGGCCTTGGGACTGGTGTCAAATTCACCCCCGGCAGCATTCACATCGAAGCCCTGCTTCTTGGCCTTCACCTTAGGACCGCTCATGTGAAGCTTGGGCATCTTGAACTTGCTTTTCTTGCCCTTGCCACCAACATCAACCTCAGGAGCCTCCACACTCAGCTCTGCCTCCGGCAGGGTCACATCAAGTGCTGGCGGCTTGATGTCCTTGATGTCCGCTTTAGGGCCTTTTCCTCCAAATCCAAATCTTGGTTTCTTAAACTTAGGAATTTTCACATCTGGCCCTTCAATGTTAACATCTGGGCTAACCACATGCACATCTACACTTGGAGCTTCCAAGTCGACCGTAGGCCCCATAAGGTCTACTTCACCACCTTCTAACTTGGGACCAGAAACTCCAATTTTGGGCATCTTCAGGTGCAAATCCACATCGGGAACAGTTACTTTAGGAGCAGCTATGTCCAGTGACGGCATCTTCAAGTTAGGGCCACTGAGTTTGGCAGCAGGTCCTTCAAAATCGAGACTTGGTCCCGTAAGTTGAACTTCAGGGCATTGGAGAGCACCTTCAACCTTAGGGACAGACACATCAAAATCTCCTTTCACTTTAGGTCCTTTCAAACTTAGGTCAATATCAGGCATGGAGACCTTGGGGGCCTTGATGTTCATCTCAGGCATCTTGAACTTGGGGCCCTTCACTTTTGCATCTGGACCTTCTATATTCACATCAGGAACATCAATGTCCACCTTGGGCGTCGAGACATCAATGTCGGCCTTGGGCAGGTTCACATCCACCTCTGGGCCCTCTGCTTTGAAGCCGGGCATGCTGAACTTGGGCATTTTCACCTTTGGCATCTTCAAGTGCCAGTCTGGGCCTTTCCCATCCACATCTGGAACATCAAGGTCCACTCTGGGACCTTTGATGTCAACTTCAGGGCCCTTGAGGTCACCTTCCACTTTTGGCAGAGATATGTCCACATCACCCTTCAATGCTGGACCCTTCAGATTCAGGTCAACCTCAGGCATGGAGATCTTGGGGGCCTTGAGGTGCAAGTCAGGTACCTTCAACTTCGGGCCCTTCAGTTTTCCTTCTGGACCCTGAATGTCCATCTCTACCTGAGGGCTTTCCAGATCTCCTTCTAGTTTAGGAACACAAACACCCACATCTCCCTTTAGCTTAGGTCCTTTCAAGTTCAAGTCAATGTCATTCATAGAGATCTGTGGGGTTTTGAAATGGACATCAGGCATCTTAAATCTAGGAGCTTTCAGTTTGCCTTCAGGTCCTTCAATGTCCACCTGTGGCCCCTTCAGATCACCTTCCACTTTAGGTAGTGAAAAAGCAACATCTCCCTTTGCTTTTGGTCCTTTGAGATTTAAATCATAGTCCGGCATGGAAATCTTGGGGGCTTTGATGTGCATTGCTGGCATTTTAAATTTGGGCCCTTTTAATGTTCCTTCTCCACCTTCAATACTGACATCAGGAGCATCAATGCTCATACCAGGACCCCTGATATCAAATTCTGGGCCCTGGAGGTCACCTTCCACTTTGGGCACGGTGGCATTCATGTCCCCCTTGACTTTGGGCCCTTTCAGGTGAAAGTCCACATCAGGCATGGAGATCTTGGGAGCACTGATGTTCATCTCAGGCATCTTCAACTTCGGACCTTTTAGCTTTCCTTCTGGTCCGTCAATGTTAACATCAAGGCCTTCAATGTCCACCTTGGGTGTTGAGATGTCAATGTCCACCTTGGGAAC